GAAATATTTTGGTCAACTTTTGTGCAAATGCATTATAATGTCTTCTATCAAATAATCACCTACCATTTTTTCCCCACAGATCTTCTGCCTCAGTCAGTGCATGAATAGATGGTGTTTGGGGTTGAGTCAGGCCTGTATGGTGAAGGAAGCTGTTGTCTGTAGCATCCTTACCTACTTTGTGGGAGAAGTTAGGTGGTGTATACTACTTGCATGACTGGAATAGGTGAGTCTAGGCCTGAGTAAAACTAAAACCCTACCCTCTCAACAAAGGAAGAGGAGATCAAGCCACACTTGAATACTCGGGACACCCAAGGAGAAAACATGAAGATGACTGATGTCGAAGTTTTAAAATGAGGTAATCAGAGGAGGACTCCGAGAAGAGCCTTGGACACCAGCCCCAACTCTTGAAATGAGTTTAAGGAGACAGTGGATACTGCCCAGATGGACTCTGCCCAGAGGGGTGATTGTACACAAACAGAAATAGGCCTCACAATCACAAAATATACATCCCATCCAGCTTCCCCCTCCCTGAAATGATGGATTGCCAGCCAGGAGGAGGATCAAAATGAGATCCCATGGATGAGGTATGCTTGGAAGGTATGTAATGAATGATTAAGGCAGTTAAATGCTATCCCTTGTGTTAAAAATTGCCAGTGATCGAGAACATACCACAATCCTTGATAAGATGTTCCAATGAATAATTACATTCATTGGGAGGGATCTTAGCAAATGTTTACTTTGGTAAATGGGTAGCTGCTGAATTTTTCAGTGGTTACATGTGGACACACAATGGGGGCAGGTAGGAACCTGTAATACAGAGGCAGCAGCACAGGGAGGGGGGCAGGTGGCTCCATGGGAGTTGGAACTAGCTCCTGCCTCCCACCCTTTGCTCTCTGGGTGCATGTAGTCATCAGGGTTAATCAATAAGCTCAGGCTTTTTGGTTGATCGTGTAAACGACTACATGCAAACACTCCTAAAAATTACTTACAAATGTTAGAAATTTAAACCTGATACGGCATAGCTGCTCATTCAGAGGAACTTTATTGTGCACTGAATGAGGGAGGGGTTTTTATGGCTATGTAATTAAAGACTTTATCATAATGCATGTCTACAAGAAGGCCAAATTAAGGTTGCACACAGAAATTTAATTCTGGAATCCCCTAACTTTTGAATGCTTGACTTCGCAAACTCAGAGTTCCTTTAACATAGGATATTTATAATAATTATGTGCCCAGACAAACTAAGAAATAATTAGTAAATATTTAAAATTCAACTCAATGATTCTGACTCCGAAAAGACTCAAGGATAGTTTCCTAACTATCTCAAAATCCCCCCACAAAATCTGGTAGTTCAAGAATCCCTTCTTTCTGCTTGGGCAGGTCATTCTGAAGTGATGTGCAGAGCTGCAGAAATGAAATCATCATTTAAGCACTCTCAATTTAGAATGAACAGATTTTGTATTCAAATCCCCTCCAGTTTTCTTTCCAGCAGTACTCCAGATCCACAGCAGCACATGGACTCAATATCAATAACCTGAGGGCTTGTCTTCACTACACAGAAGATTGCCACTGGCGTGATCGATCTTCCAGAGTTTGATTTAGTGGGTCTAATTAAGACTCATAGAATTGAACTCAGAGGGTGCCCCTGTCGGCATCCAGTACTCCTCCTTTTGCAAGGAGTAAAGGAAGACAACAGGAGTGTTTGCTCCCATCGGCCTCCAGCTGAGGAGTTCAGTGACAAACTCAGCTTAAGGTAAGCCAGCTCCAGCTACATATTCTGCATAGCTGGAGTTGCATACTTTAAGCCAAGTTGCCGAGTCTAGTGTAGATCTGGCCTGAGAAACTAACTTCTTTTATGTTCAATTTCAAGTTCAGAGTCATATTCAAATGGTGTTTGTTGGTAGAATGAACAGGGGAAATCTTTAACCTAAAATGAACTAACACAAGCTGAAATCACCATGCTAACCTTCTTCTACGGTGAGTAAATCTGATACATAGAACTGGAACATTAATAATTGCCTGGAGAGATTGCAAAGACAACATTAGAATGTGGCCAGAGTAATTTAAGTTTAAAAAAATACTGTTGCTACTTAGAGTAATATAGTTCCATAGATCCCAAAGTATTTTACAGAGGAAAGAAAATATCATCATCCCAATTACAGTTTGTCTCTTTCCAGTATAGCTATGAGCTCACCACGGAAGGAGAATAAGTATTTTTAAGATGTCTTGACACAGGATTTACCTGTTTATATCCTGACCCATTTAAGACAGCTCATGTTAGAAAACACTGCTGACACAATTAATCAATTTTATTACAGGTGTTTGCAAAACAAGATCACAGTCCCTAATTTTTCTTCCTCAGAATGGTTTTAAGTCTTGCTATTCATTTTTTCATTCTGCAGGCCCTTTTACCATCCAAATAACCCAACCAAATCATACTTCTACTTTTACTGCCCCAACCTTAGAAGCGGAGAGGAAGCATGACAGCGTGCAGCAAGAGAGATGTGTACAGAATAACCGGAATTGCTGCCAGAACAAAAATTTATCATCAACAACAATTCATCTGGAATTAGTGTTGCTGAAGTAATGGCAATGCATGTTGTTTATACTGAGGAATTAAGTGTGCATCACTACCCTACTTAGATTGCAACAAAGTTTTTTTTAAAAACCATGCTACAAAAATACACAAAAAATGAAGCTTTATTTGCAGGGTTTACCTTGATGAGAAATTATGAAGTAAAAGCACTGGAATCCAGTTTAGAATTACAGAAAAATTTAACATTTACAAAATCTGCTTAATAATAGTTCTTCTGTGTTACCTGTTTAGGGCCTATGCTCCCTGTGTCCCATTCTTTTTCTTCTGCAAATCGGAATTGTGTGAAGGAATCTCCTGTAGAAAAGAAGTAAAATACAACTTTAATTTTAGAACAAAACAACAGGCATCCCCAATAACTTCTACACAACAGAAGTAAACACATTAAGTGCAGATCAATAAAACTGTAGTGTCTACATATATGCATTAATGTTTATATTGCTTTCATTCATCTTTAAGAAAGCAACCCTAAGATAAGACTCACAATTTGCTAAAATTTGTTCTGCTCTACAAAGAGTTACAAGACTGATATACACAGGTAAGTCAGTAGATGATATCCTCTAACTTAACAATGATATAGAGCTTTAGAAGAAATATTTCAAAGCCAGAGTATGGTAAGAAAGAGAAAACAAGTATTCATAATATACAATAGTAACTCTTAAATGCTCAAAATTTAGAAAGTAAATAAAAACCGCAAACTTATTTTTACAATCTCACAATTTTAAAACAAATATCATGATTTTTTGAATGCTTGTGTTGGCAAAGCTCTATTAAGCCACCTGTGAACGCTGATTTTCTGCTGAAAAAGACAATAAGAAAACCAAGAGGTTCTCAGTCTCTTTCATATTATGATAACTGTAATGATGATGTTAATGAGGCCATCAACAAGTCTGTGACACCATCTTCTACAAAGAACTTGAAGATGACCCAACATCACAATCCACCCACAGATTTAAGAATATCATCAAAGCCTTTCCCAGACAACATCAAGAGAAACTTTACGACCCCGTCGCCTAGGAATCCACCCAAGAAACTTCTATATGATTCCAAAGATATATAAACAAAAGACCTCTTGCAGACCCACAGATTTCTTACCAAAGGAATGTCAGGACCCATAGACGCCATCCTCAAACTACTTACTGGTAGAGGTCGTGGAGGAAACTGGTCCAACAGATTTCATCCAGAAATTCCACAACTTTAACAACCTTCCTTAGAACACAATCCTTGCCACTATAAGTGTCATTTCCCTATATACCAACATCCCTCTCACAATGATGGTATTGTTGCCTGATTCAAATTTCTACAAGACAATGGACAACACTCAGCTATCCACTCCAAACATAATACCACACCCATCAGTTTCATCCTCACCCAAAAAAACTTTACATTCAATAACAAATACTTCCCCTCCCACATATGCCAATCTCATTATAGGCCAGCTTCAGGAAAAAATTCTGGACAAGTGTACCACAACACTAATGATATGCCTAAGATATATCAACGATATTTTCATCCTTTGGACAGATGACCTAAACTCCCTCATAGACTTCTAACACAATTTCAACAACCATTACCTGTCCAACAAACTCCCCCTAGAGTGGTCCTATTCCATCATCTCCTCCCTGGATACCACAATCAGCTTTAATGATGTAACCTTATAGGGAACTATATACAAGAAACCCATGGATCAATACACTTATCTTCATAGATCCCGCAACTACCACCAAACACCAAGAAATCTGTTATCTACAGCCAGGCATTCAGACAGTACAATATACTCAGAGTAGAAAGTCAGGGACACAAACCTTAACATATTTTAAACCATGTTCATTAAACGACGGCATTCCATCAGACAAGTAGATTGCACAATGACACAAGCATCTCAAATACCACAAGAGAATCTGCTTCAATATGGGGAAAGAAACAACCCTATGAAGGAACCCTTAATTGTCACCAACCACTCCACTAGAGAGTGTATAAGTAGGGATGTAAATGGTTAACCAGTGGCCCAGTGGGGCTGGAGCAGCTTCCTGCCCCATGGTGCAGTGCAGTACATCCGGCCAACCTGGAGAAGCCCCACAGCATGGTACAGCAGACCTAGCCTTACCCGAGTAGCCCCCTCCTGTGATGGGCTCAGCTTGGCTTGGCCAGAGCAGTCTGTGATATAATGGGCCCAGCCAGGCTGGAGCAATCACCAGGCTGGAGCCGAGCCTCTGCCAGGGCTGGGGGTGGCACTCCAGCCTCACCAGGCCTGCCACACCATGGGCTGGGGGTACTCCAGCCTGGCTGGGCTTGCCATGCTATGCCTGGTTCAGCCTAAGCAACCTGCCACCTGCAGCAGGCTTGGCCCGGCCTTGCTGGAGCACCACGCATTGTGACAGGCCCAGCCAAGCCTGGCGCAGCCCCATACCCATGGGATCCTGGTTAAGTGATTAACCAGTTAACTGATTAAACAGGATTTTACATCCCTAGTTGTCACTTAAGGTATTCATGGCAAATGAGTTCTCCTGATCAGCCTCCCATAAGTCCAGTGATTTTGGATTTCCATTACATACAGGAAAAATTAGGAGGTTTCTGGGCCTGATTTATTCCACCTTAAAAACAACAGATCCCTTCAGCCAGCACCCTTCACTTTTAAGCTCTTCTTAAAATGCAGTGGAAGACAATGAGCAAATGGATTTTTTTATACCAGAATCTTAAGAAAAGGTTATGGAACTCTGGACTCTTACTAATACAGTCCAGAGGAAAGAGGTTCACTAGCAATTGGGTAGCTTAGAAGCTACGTTGACAACAGCTGAACCATCAGTCAAATTCTCCTTTGTCTACAACAAAGGAAAATTGTGATTCCAATAGACTGAGCAGTGACACTCAAGAAGGGTAAGAACTCACTAAAACGTGGCTTTGAATCTTCCTCCTTTTGTTTTATGAGAAACTGTGGCCTATGTAATCTCTGCTTAAATTGCCCCCTGTTACCTAAGGTCCAAAGAATTCAGAGGGGAATTCTAAGAGGAAGCTCAGATTACTTAGCTCTTGGTCAAATCTGACCTTGGCAACATCCTAGCCTGATGCAACAAATTACTCATAGTCCAATTTGAACGGGGGTATATTTCTAGTTCCACCAATCAAGAAGTTCTTCAGTTCCTGCTCGAGATCCTTTAGATCTCAATATTACTTATACTAATATTTCCTGAGTCTCACTGGCTTTGCCTGTGGTCTGAAAGTTATAGTATTTCCTTTAGAGTACCAGAAGGCAGAGTACCAAAAGGAGCTTCAGACAGGGAGCTTGAGTTTAAAATCTCTCTCTCTCTCTCTCTCTCTCTCTCTCAAAGGAGGAACACTAAGTTCATATATTTCCAATATATGAGTGATTAAAAAAGGAGAACCCAATATGGGACTGATGGAGCAATGCGTACCCACTTTGAAAAGATAAAGTTATGGACAAGAAAGTTCACTTTACTTTTCACTTGTTACCCTCATAATACTTCTGGGCACAGCCATCTCATAGCCCTATATGGATTACACTGTACTGTGAATTTTTTAATATATAAATTTATTCAGAAACATGAAGTGCCAAAGATACTATCCAATTTACATGTATATTTATAAAAATATCTATAATCTTTTATCTCTCTCATTTTTAATGAAGCAGAATATGAAATATTTCAGACGTAAGACAAATGGCATACAATATTGAGCATCAAATCATTGTTAAAAACATTTGTCAGTTCTTTCCTCCATTTAGTCACTTTTTGAACTTTAGGTTTTATATATTATTTGACATTTAAAAAAAACATTTCAAAGTATACTGACAGTTTTCTGTTAGATGTTGTAAATTAGTAGGTTATCCTTGTGAAAAAAAAATCAGCACGTGAATACTGTGCAGTTTTTAATTTGGGTATAAAACATGCATTCTGTTTAAATCATCTCATTTAATTGGATAAATGGCATTTTTAGTAATAGAAAAATCTGCTGTGTTTTAGAGGTCCTGTCATTTCATTTTAAACTTGTAGTCTGTGCAATAATTACTATTAAAACTTATTGTAAAAGATGCCAAAGTTAATGTTTCATATTCAATTAAATATGTTAAAGTATATTTGTAAACTGCTTTTTTAAGATAAATAGTACTTTGTAATGGTTTTTATCTATCATGATATGCTTTGTATTTGAAAGGAGTGGAAAGTCATAGTATGATGTATTATTAGTATTCATAGTGTAAAAGGAAGCTATTTTCCGGCTAAAGGAATTTTGAAAAGATAATTGGGTAGACCAACATTCTCATTAACCTAATTTGCATTAAATGTGCTTCTGTGAATTGTAGTTATTGCTTTTCCATCTGAAAGGCATGCTTTGTCACTGTATTTAAAAAGCCCAGTTAAAGGATGTATTTCATCTATAGTTTAATTCAGCAATGTTCAACCTGTGAGTCCCCCTACCACCCTCCAGAAACAATTTGCAGCAGTTGCTTGGGCATGAGGAGTCAAAAGTCAGCTTCTGATCCCAGAGGAGTTTTCTGCTGTGGTGGATTTGTTCAGCTACTTTGCAGCCAGCCATGACAATGTGCAAAGCTGACCACCTCTCCCAAGAATGAAGATCACTACAGACCCCTTTTTCTATAGGTTTTTTCCCTGTTTGGGGGGTGTGTGACATTTTGGTTGGGAAGAGTCAGATGAAAACAATCCTTTAAGACCAATTCAAGAGAATGCAAGACCTATGAGATTTGACTCTGTGAATCCAGACAGCAGAAGAAAGAGCAAGATATCTCCAAAGATATCTGCCACGAGGAAATGAGGGAGAGGTACTCCTCAGTATCTTTTAGTTTAAGGTAGAAAAATCTAGACTTTTAAGCTGGGTAGAATTTAGAGCTGCCCATGAGTTATAAAGGCAGTAAACCCATCAATACGTGATTGATGGAGCAGCAGTTACCCACACGGAGAAGGGAAGGAGAGTAGCAGAAGAAGGAAAGAAGGAACCTGTACCTGTAAATTCCATGGCTAGTCACAAATATAACAGCATTCTGAAAATTGCACGGTAACTGCTAATACAAAAATCAAGTGCTTTGTGATGTCACCAGAACTTACTCCTTATTCTTCCTACACTGTGCTTTATGAAACAGTGGATCTGCAGCTATAAAAATTCCATGTTAAAATATTGTGAAAGGTACCTTAGATTATTTTTAATATGTATTTAAATCTTCTAAAAAGTTATTTGTCCATCTAAATTGATAATAAATAGCCAGGTGATCATGGCAATTCCAGGAGAAACTTTAATTAAAGTCCTAAGATTTTTAATTATACCTA